TGAGAATTTCCGTACTACTCTTCACTTATTTAGATGGGCGGGCCATTTTTTGGGGCAGAGTGAACCCATCAGCATCTTGTTTTATTTAATCGAGCGCTTCCTAGCTTTTTTTTAAGGCAGTTTGGGCTTAATAAAATTATCAGTCATCTCATTAGAATAAGTTTCATTAGCATTATTAATGGGATTAGTTTCCTTGATATCATTGGAAGTACTGGCATCATTAATTACAATAACATCTTTATCACTCGAGTTAGCAGCATTAATTTTATCTACATTTTCGTAAGACAGTTTACTAAATTTTAACTTACGATCATAATAACCAACATTAGCGAATTCAGGATTTTAAGTCACCGAAAGATTTGCACTCACCTTCAAATAACTGCAGTAATTCCTCGGTGAAAAAAAATTTATGCCTTTGAGAAAGGCATAACTGGCTGACTGTGCAAAGTCCGGAGCAGATTCTAATTCATGTCTGTGGATCGGTTGATATTTTTATTTTTCTCCACATATCCCAAAATGGTTATATAATTCATCAAGTCAAGCGAATCTTTTAACAACAGGTTATTCCAATTAGGATCCAATGATTCATTCGCTAGTTTCACGTTTTTGTCAGGTAACCCGTCACTGAGGTGACAAGCAAATGCCTTTGCATCCTCAGGTGTGAGGGGTCGAAAATCTTTTTCAGCCATGGACATAATTCGTAATTAGCAGTTAATAACTCAACACATAATCACGGAACACCATCACAAGTCGATTAATATCCAAAATAACGTCGATGTAAAAAGATATCCACATTTATATGAGAAGTACTCAGAATATGAAATGCTCTAGGAATTGTATTTAAATGCAAACTCTGGCTGTCTCTAAAGCCAGTTTTTTCTCCCTTTCATGTTTGGTCTGCTGTAATATCTCTGATCCTTCATTTTCTGAATTGTAATATTACATTTTTCTAAATGTTCTACCACCGTTTCATACATACAAAGACCTACAGAAACATCTACGTCTCCAAAGTCTATCTTCTATTCCACTATCTCTGCTAGTAACAAAGCATATAATAATTATTATTTCTTCAGTCTTACTTTCATCTGATGCACAGTCTAAGAATATTGAATAATATTAAGCTTTTCAAATAGATGTCACAAAATTTTTCCAAATCAGAGAATGTTAGAATGGCAAGCTTGTTAACTTGAATCAGCTTGAAAAATGCTATGAAATAAATTTATTGAGAAATATTCAAAATTAAAATTTAAAAAGTCTGATTAATTGTTTATATGATTCCATGCTTTTTGAATGATCAAATTAACTGTGATTTTTTATATTATTAGAATAGTAATGCTTTATCAAAGCACTAAATATGGGGGAAAAGGTATAATTAAAAAAATAATGAAAAATAAGGTATACAAATTACAAGTTTTATTATTTTAAACTTTTATACAACAGCAAAAAATACTTTATAAAATTTGAACAGTTTGACTAACACAATAATAACTTTTCCTGTAGCGAGCTTAAAAAATGCAAGCTTTACATCTGAAAGAACATAACTAAATAATATCAATGTTTTCACACTTAGGTGGGGAAAATAAGTAAAATTTACAAAATGCATATTTTTATAAATTAAATGCTGCATTGTGTTATAAAATGCTACTCGTCGCTTTTCTCCTAGTAGATTTTAATACATAAATTAAATTAGTTTCTGTAGAACATATATTACTGCACTACAAGCTGTTTTCTGAATACATACCTATCCCTTAGTTTACATGGTACTCATTTTAAAACTTAACGGATTTCAAAAACTTGGCAAAAATGTATATTTGGCTGCATATACACAAACACATATATTTTAATTCATTTTTGAATCTCATTCCATTGATAACACTGGTGACAACAACAAGTATGGGGATTATCAAAATCGTAAAAAACAACCTTATATTTAGCGTAGGTATAATGAAACACTCAATCGATTTCGAGGGCAGCTAAAGGTCCCTCCTCATCAGGAGAAAGAAATACATAGAAAGAAGAAACTAGGAGAAGGAGTCACCAAACACGTGTGCTTATCAGCACTGCACGTGGTTTAAACTAGATTTTATCGAGTGCAATGCCGCTACTTTACTGAGCCAGGCTGTCGATCAAGCATAAAGAAATATTAGCGAAGTTAAAAATAGGGACCGAGCGGCAAATGCACTACGCCTCAAATCTGAACTTAAATAATGATTATTGACGTTGTAATTAAAAATCTAGTTATAAACACGTGCAGTGCTGATAAGCACTACGTGTGCTGTGAATCCTTCTCTATTTTCTTCTTCTTGCATTTCTTTCCTGATGAGAGGGGACCTTAGCTGCCCGAAATCGATGGTGTTTTATTTACCTACGCTAAATATAAGGTGTTTTTTACGATTTGATGTCACATTAGCGTGTTTCTCTTCTAGTAAGTATGGGGTTCTGTGTGTAAAATGGGAATCATAGTATGATATGTTTTCACAACATAAAGCATTTGGTTCATGGAACTAGTGCAGTATCTATTTAGCAGCATGCCACGTAATTATCTACAATTTGAAGTTTATGTGTAAGTTTTCAACTTTATATTTTGTTAGTTTTATATTTAATAATTTTTAAGGTTTTATAATGCCAAAAGATTTGAAAAAAATCAAATAAAAAGAAAAGTTATTAAAATATTAGATTGTCTACATAATAAAAAAAGAATAACATATGTTGCTAAATTTTATTCCATGAATGAAGCCACAATAAGCACAAGTAGAAAAAGTGTAGCTGCTGGAACTTGCAGCAGTAAGAGCAGAATTTCATATGTAAGAGATGATAAAATGGAAAATACGGAAAAGGCATTAGTGATATGAAAAGAAGAATAAAATCAAAAATGGATTCCAATTGATACTAATGCTATTACAAATAAGCCTTTAAATATTTATAAAGCACTTAAGAATCAGTCACCGTCCATTTCATCAGATATAAAAAGTTATCTGTTTTTGCATGTCATGGTTGGTTCGAGAGATTTAAACAAAGACAGTCTTTACATAATCTAAGATTGAAAGGAGAAAGTGCATCTGCTGATTCGGATGCAGTACTACAATATCCAGCAAAATTTTCTGAAATCATTGCCACCAACTCCTACACTTCTGATCACACCTTCAATGCTGACAAGTTCGGGTTGTTCTGGAAACGAATGCCTGAAAGAGCCTATTTAGCTAAAGCCTGCAAATCAGCTAGTGGTAATAAGGTAGCAAAAAGTCGTATAACAATTCTTTTGTTTCGATGCTTCAGGCGATTATATAATGAAACTACTGGTTATTAACAAATCAAAACACCATGCTCATTTAAAGGAATAAACACAAATAACCTTCCCATTTATTGAATGGCTAATAAGAAAGCCATAGTCACTGCCATAGCTCTCAATGAAAGGTTTCATAACATGTTTGTTTCAGATGTCAAAAATTATTTAAGGGATTGCCTAAGTTTCTTCTATTAATTGATAATGCACCTGGTCATTCTCAAGATTTACAACACAAAAATGTAGAAGTTGTCTTTTTACCAAAATATACAACTTCCTCATTACAGCCATTAGATAAAGGAATAATTTCGACTTTTAAAGCATTGCACAGCAAATAAATATTCAGGTATATTTTAGAACAAATGGAGTATGATGAATCTATTATAGATGCTTGGAAGAAATTTACAATCTTAGATTATGTTAAGCATGTTGGACTGTCATATTTTCAAATTAAACAATTAACTCTCAATGCATGCTGGAAAGCAAATGGTTGGATGCTGCTAAAGATGAGAATGATAGATTACCATTACAGCATGAAAATTCTCAGATCACAAATTGGCCCAAACTATAGGAGGAGAAGATTTTGACAATTTAGCTCAGATATTGAAGAAATAATGGCTAATGAAGAACTAAATGAGGATAAGTTAGTTAACATGGTTCATGAAACAAATAAACATGATAAAGAGCAATCTGAACCAGTTGCGTTCACAGCAAGAGCAAGTGTAGGACTTGATTTGGGAAGAAAATTAGGTAATCATTTCTTACAATATGACATGAATCTTTAACGAGCTCTCTGATTCCAATGGGAACTTAGTAAGTGCTTAAATCAATATGAGGTGGTTTATAAAAATTTAGGAAGAAAAAAAAAACCTATGCTTTTCTCCTAGTAGATTTTAATACACAAATTAAATTAGTTTCTGTAGAACATATATTACTGCACTACAAGCTCCTTTCTGTAATGTATATATACATACCTATCCCTTGGTTTACATTTTAAAACTTAACAGATTTCAAAAACTTGGCAAAAATGTATATTTGGCTGCATATACACAGACACATATATTTTAATTCATTTTTGAATTTCATTCCATTGGTAACACTGGTGACAACAAGTATGGGGATTCCCTGTGTTGTAAAATGGGAATCCCCATAGTATGTATATGTATTTTCACAACAGTATGAGCAAATTCATACTGACACCTGAATGGTGCTCAAGGCTTTTGCCAACAACAGGCGCAATCTTGAGATAATCAATCAAGTGAGATAATCATCAACAACAAGGCTTTACAAATTCTGGTTTCTGAAAGGGAGGGGAAGTTAATTTGTTTGCTAGATTTAAGATTTTCTTTATAAAAGCTTTATTTTGCAACCATACATATTTTGGAAAAATGAATGCACCCTCATTGGACATTGGACAAGACAGTTTAATAACAAAATTATCCTCCTTTTTCAACATTTCTTGATAAGCAAAATTTCACATATTCTTTTATTCATTCTGTGCTGGTGAAATTTTATGTGGCAAAATTTTTACCATATAACAAGCTGTAAACGTAAAAATTCCACACTGCAGATAAAGGGAGCATTATTCAAAAAATACAAATGGGCATAGCCAAATTGGTATCGGCCAGAATACAATTTATCTTGATACCATGTTGAAAAACTGAGACTCGATAATTTCTGCTCATGGAAAAATGTTGAATACTTCGGAAATTCTCTATTTTTGTTCTTAAGTGACAAGTTGAATAGGTTCAAGAAATGACAGAACCCTTTCTCTTGGAAGACTATTGGAGGTTTAGAAAGATTTCAAAATTTGATGTCAAGAAATTGGGGGGGGGGGAAATTTGAGAGATGACGTCTTTTGCCAGTACAAAGAGAAAAAGGCATTTTTAACACCTTCAAAGCTCAGTTGTTTTAAAAGATGAAATGAAATTAAACATTGAAAGATTGAAGAAGAAGCAAACTGGCGGTCAAAAATTTGCCAAAGTGCAATCACAATTCTTGTGCATCTGAGCATCATAGGCTTTTGGCAAGAGGAAAATTTCAAAAGTTAAATTGTTTTAAAATTTTTCTTGTTTCTTAATAATTATAAGGTATGGAAGAAAAACTTTCAGTGGAAAGACTTTCATCAAATATGTTTTGGGCTTCACTTATTGCTTAGTTGAGATACATTGCACCTTCACAATACTTGAGCCAAGAGCGAGCCAGCCAAACGTGTGATTGTGGTTAAAGTCAATCAATGCATTATGAAGCGATTCTTTAGCCAGCGGGTGTTTAAAAATAACATAGAGGAATCTCAGTTAGCCAGAGGGGGAAATTGCTTTCATAGCACACCTGCTTTTTTTGGAGTATTGTATTCTCCATTCCCAATTTTTTTTTGGGGGGGGAAATGCTGGTAGTCTAGCTATTGGACTTTGTACTGTAACTGTATGTAGCAATATTTGTAATTAAACCTTAATAATTTTTTATAACACTTATTATTCACCTCTTTTGTAAATGTGACAATGTTAATGTTTTTCTATTCATGAAGAAGTTTTTACAATTTGTTATAAGATAATCCATTTTTTCTATTAAACTGGATACATTAATCAAACCTCTGGTCCCTTGAAGTTTATTATAGTGGAGTTTGACTGTAATAATGTATACAAGACTCAAATGAGAAGACAGATAAGTTACACACATATTTCAAAACACGATGATCTAGTTTTAGAAAAATTACATGATTATCTGAAAATATTAATTTCATATTTCATAAAAATAAGGACACACAATTTCTGATACATTATACTGGAAATTTTGAATAAAAGAAATACTAGTATCACATTATTAGTTGGTATAGCATTATATTATTTGTTGGTAAATAAGTTTTTGCTAACAACTACAGTCAGCCTCAATTATGAAGGGGATGGATTAACCAGGCTGCAGTTTGTTTATTGCAGTGTAAAGGAAAAAAATACAATTAAAAATCATTAAAATAAAACATGATTGTATTTGAGAAATCAAAAAAGGAAAAGAAAAATAAGTAGCTAATTAAAAAATTAAAGACATCTTTAAATCAATGACAAAATTTATCTCAATTATCATAATTAATGATCTCATCAAAAGATTAAAAATTCAAACTATTTTAAGAAAGCATGGAAAAAGATCTCTCTGAAGTTATGCATGCCAGCTATATTAATTAAGCATTAATGCAATGTTAATCATGAAAATTATGGTCAAGCTTCACAGGTTAAATCAGTAAACAAAGGGCAGAACAAAAATCTTTAAAAATGCATAAAAGCTCATTTCTTAAAATCTGATGTGATCCATCAGAACTTGAGAAAAAGAGCTGAATTAGAGAGAAATGTACACTGAAAACAGTCTAATGAATTTATGTGAAATGGCAGACATTATGAATAAACAGTTTTGAGTATTTAAATACAGAGCTAACTGCAAGTACAAACAATATAACAGAAATTCATAGTTTTAACATTTTCATAGTTTTTCATTCATAGTTTAATATAACAGAAATTCATATTTTCAGATCTTTATACATTTTCAAAAAAGTAAACAATTTATTTTGTGAGAATATATTTTATCTGCACCAACAGAAGAAGAAAATCAAACTATTCATATAGAAACTTTTCACAATTTTAATGCTCAGAATCCATTATGCAAGTTCTGACATTTTTAATATGATTTCATGCTCTGTACAATGTTTTCAACATATTTTATCATCTCCATCATAAGTCATTAAAATTTAATAAATAATGAGATACCATTATAATTCTTCTACAAGAATTCATACCATAAATAGCTGCATATAAAAGAGAGAAAAACTGCCTGAAATATCCCATCCTAAACATCCTTCTAACTTTCTATAAGACAGAATACAAAACACACAGCTTTTCTGTTTTTAGGTACGATATTAACAAACTAAAGTTTTAACATAATATTACAGATTTTTTAAAATTAAAAATGAGCTCTTCATCATCAACTATTCCAAAATTCAGAACCTAAAAACCCTTCTGGAGGTGACACATATCCTTTCTTAACAGTCTGTTGTAAGAAATTTTCAAGCCTTTCCACTGGGCCTCCAGAATCCCCAGGTGTAACTTTTTTTATCTTTTGAAAGTAGTCTTTGCATAATATATGTAATATTTTCTTGAACTGTTTCTTATATACCATTTGCAAAGCATGTCCTGTAACATCTAAAAAGTCGAAAATGAGAGTAGCTGTAATATCTGCACGAGGTTCCATGTTCAGTGTGCGGGATAACCATTTCCATCCCCATTCGATGCCATGTGGATGAGATGATTTTGAATTTGGAGGTAAGGGAGACTGTATGATTGCAGCATAAAGTCTCATGTAGCCACTCATTCGATTCAAAAATTTGTATTTTTCCTCCATATTATCATCTCTGTCAAATCTGTAGCCCAATTTTCTAAACAGACAAGAATATTAGATTAATATGTTTCAAGCAAATGCAATCAATTTATGACACAAACACAGGAATAAAATAATCAAGAAAAGGCTCAATGTTCCTAGTTGAATGATTTACTTAATATATATAGGAAAGTTTTTTTAAAAAATTTATATTTACAATTAATATATAATAAACACCAATTTACATAACTGAACAAATGAAAGTTTAACATATCATTACAGTTCCTTATGCATGTAAATAAAATTAACAAATTAAAAAGATATAATGAATTACAGTAAATCCTCTTGCGACTACCTCTAAACATGAGCAGTATGTGTCAGAGCATAAATAAAAATTGTACTGAACACATTTTTTAAGACAACCAACTCCATAAAAGACCAAAATCATATTAAATCATGAATGGTCATCCTAGCTTTCCTAGATTCATTATATTTGGAAATGATCATTAGGTTTAAATTAAGTATTGCCCTTAGCATGTTAAATAACTATCAACCTGAAAAATTACATCAAGGGCAATAAAACAAAGAACCTCATCTTCTGAAACTTAAAAAGCTAACAAGACTTGAAGAGTAAAAATGTAATTAAATTTACTTCCATTTGTAATTTAAATGCTGACTTAAAAGGCTACAATTAATTTACATATACATAAATACCAAGAACATGAAATTGTTTTGAGAAAATATGCTTAAATATTTGGCATATTCTATAACATAAAAAGCAATGTACAAAAAAGGAGTTATCCAAATGGGACAAAAATCAATTTTAGATGTGATATAGGATGTATTGAAAATGAAACACTAACAGTGTCATAAGAATAGAATGTTTTATTCAGAAAATTTAGCTACAAGAGAGGGGGACACAATAATGCGCTGGCCTGCCTCTGGGCCTGCAAGCTGTTATCTGGCTGGGGACTGACTCGCAGAGTTGGCAGATAGTATGCTGCGAGATTACTTGCCATATACATTCCGCATGGTGAATTAGATTGGAGCAATCCAAGGATGATTGAAGATGTCTGCCTATCAGAGCACAGATGTGCTCTACTGGACACAGATCTGGCAATTGCGGCCCAGAGAAGTGTCAGAGAAGCACGAAGACAACAAGTAGAAAGGCGTGTCATGTGCACCTGGCCATTATCCTGTTAAAATGTACGCCCAGGGATCCATAAAAGGAAAGGCAACGACTATGAGAAACCTTAAATATTAATAAAATAATATACATTTAAAACTAAAATGTACTGTCACTGCAAAACAAATAAAAAAGTTAAAAGCATTTAAAAATATACAGAAACTGTAAAGAAGGGGTCACAAAATTTGCTATGCTTGTATAACGCTGACTGCCATATGAGATTGTATATTTTTAAAATATACCCAAATAAACTTAAAGAGAAAAAAGGTAACATATAAAATTTTAGCATCAATTTCTTCAGTGTCATAGCTGGATATAGCTTTATCACTAAGCTACCATCACACAAGCGTGGTTAGCAATTTTGGCTTGTATACTTTATCAAGTAAATGAATTCTTAAAACTAAATTTTTTGGTTTTATTTAAGTATGCTATCATCTAAAAAATTTACCAGAGCTTGTTCTTCAGCTTCTATGGCATTTCTTACAAAAATATAATTTTAAAGAGGCATTCCGACTGAAGTCAGACAGACTACTAAAAATATATTCCAAGTGAAAGATGTGCTTACAAATACATGTTAGCAAAAAAGGTATATTTATAAATAGAGAAATACAATTTTAACATACTTTTTAATGCAGTAGATTATTTAAAAGGCTATCAAATTTAATTTATAAATAACGTTATTAGTTTTTACCTGTTTCAAAAGAAAACAAAAACGTTTAATGCCTTATCTGATTTGCTATAGCAGTTTGATACAGTCAGACGTTCATTTTAATTAAAAGTAAATGTGTACGCAGAACTAAAAAATAATTGTCAGGACAAATTTTGCTGTTTCATGGATTTGGATTTATTCTTTTTGCACATGATTTTCTTGAAAGTAATCACTGCCCTCTGCGAACTAGTACTGTAGTTGCAGTTACCTTATTTTTCTTTTCTTTTCTTTTTAACTAAATTCAGTTGACTGCTGTCTTTTTCATATGCAGATTTCTCTCTATAATTTTAATTCAGAAATAAGTATTTTCAGCAAAACATTCTTTCCCTGATCCAGCGTTCATCGACACTTCTGCCACCATTAGTTTTTGGTGACAACACCTGATTGCTCCTTTTTTACCATGTGACCCAATGCTTCCACAGACATATGGATAGAAGTTGAGCATTGTTGAACTTCATCCGTCCATCATCTGTCACTGCACATCGAATGGATTGCAGATGTCAATCAAAGTGAATTTGCTCGCTGACTGGAAAAACACATACGCAATAGAAACGGGCCTTTATCCAATCAGTGATGTGAAGTACAAAAGTGGAAATTATTATTGGTTACCTAATGATTTCTGTTCAGCTAGTATTGGTATTATGAGTTTCTCATATTCATTTAATAATATCTATTTAATAAATGCCTTAGACACAATTTAATCAAATAATAATATCAGTGAAAATTTAAAACCCATATTGAACATTTAAAAAATGATAAAACTTCCACATACTTATAATAATCCTTATCAGATTGGTCCTTCTCTCGAGATGGATAATAAGGCACTAAATAAGGGCAACTGGAATATAAATGGCCTAAAATGAGTAATCCAACATCAGGTTTTTGCATCCAGACACCAACAATTGCTAATGCTGTAGGAAAAGCTGTAGAATGTTGGGCTGAAATCTGGCGATCTGCTTGTTCCTTAGGAAAGAAAAACTAAACTTACAAAAGTATATTTTAAATAAATAAATAAAAATATTTTGTAACAACATATGCAGTATCGGCATTAGAATTAACTTTTGTAACAATAATGCTTCAAAAGGTAACAAAATTGGCAACTGCATACATCATAAATAAAATGTATTTTAAATCTATTCAATTAATATATATTACTTGGTTAGCTAAGCAGTTACATACATACTGACTAAATTTGTAAAATAAATCAAACAGCAAAACTAAGTATTACTTGCAAAGCTACAAGAAACTTAAGAGAAATTCAACAATTTATGTTTCATGTAATTGCAGTATTTGACAAATCAAACAAATCTTGAACTTATAGTAGCACAATGTGAACTAAAGTTGATAAATTTTGAAAATACTTGCTCAAAAATATTTTCAACAACTTAAACAAGGATAAAATTAACAATGAAATTTAAAATATAAAGCATAGAAAAATATGGCAGAGTTTGGTGTTAGTTCATATGCTGACACATGCTGCACAATATGTTCCAAAATGTTTTTATTGCACTTTAACCAACACAGAGTTTTAAAGGGTATTATGATATTTTACATTATAAACAGCATGGCACACATCAAAACAATATTCATAATTGGTGTGCTACCTGAGTTAAAATATGCACAGCGAAAGCTTGAATTTGCCCCAGGCATTCTTTCCTGCGATTATATGACTGAATATTTTTGTTGTAAATGCATTAAAAAAATAAACCTACAAGAACTTAAGAAGCGATGTATAATTCAATGATTGTTTATCCTCATGAAAAGTTATGCAATATTGTAATTTTTCCGTATCTGCGATTTAAGATATTTAAAAACTCTCCAACATATTTAGATGCATATGTTCAATTAAGAGGAAATCATTATTTGTCATAGATTTATACAGATGAGCTCCTCCATGAAATTTATATTTTCAGAAAACTAAACAATAGAATATACACTGAAGAGCCAAAACATTAAGACCACCTACGTGATAACGCACTGCACTAACTTTGGCCTGCAGAACAGCAACAACTCAGTTTGGCATGGACGACACAAGTTCTTGGTAGATGACCACAGACATGCTGCACCAAATGTGTACTCAGCAGTCATGAAAAGTTGAGAGATTCTGACATGGTGGTGTTTAAGCTCTGAGTTGCAGCTCCCCGATATCCCAAATGTGCTCTACTGGTTTAAGATCCAGTGAGTTAAGTGGCCAGGACATTAACTGGAATTCATACTTATGCTCCACGATCCATTCCAACACAGTTCGAACTTGTGATATGGAGTGTTTCCTGCTCAAAGATTCCATTTCCAGTTGGGAGAATGGATGCCATGAAGGGTGAAATTGATCCACAATTATGCTCAGATAGTCCACAGCTTTCATAGTCTGTTCTACCACAAGTAAGGGCTCCAGAGAACTCCCATGAGAATGTCCCCCAAAGCATAATACTGCTACTATCAGCCTGCGTATGACCTGCTGGAAAGGGGGGAGACACTGTTCGTCTGGAAGACGGCGTACCCTGACACAACCATCAATGTGATGAATGAGAAATCATGATTCATCTGACCAAGCAACTATCTTCCACTTATCCATGGTCCAGTCTCAATGTTTCCGGGCAAACTGTACGCATAGTTAACAATGGTCAGCAGAGACACCCGAGTGGGACGTTTGCTGCACAGTTCTATATCCACTGAACTGTGTGTTCCAAATCACTTGCACTTGGGCCTTAACTGTATTGGGCTGTCAGCTAGGCCACTGTCTGTAGCCAATTTTTGCTGTACCAAGCGGAACAGTCTCTGACGCCCTTTTTCTTTGATGACATCTAGAACCTTGGACACTCTACTGCTGGTCTGACCATCATTTATCCACTTTGCATAAATATAAACAATGGCAGATCAGGAGAAACCTAGTCATGCAGTTTCGGAGATACTCATTCCAAATCTTTGGGCCATTATAATCTACCCTCTATTATTAATCAAATTAGCTTAGATCAGCAGCCTTCCCCTTCACTTGAAAAAGTAAGTGCAAGAACGATTCCTTACCTTTGCCAGCACCAATTCAATAACATACCCATTTAATCATGTGCCCTCCACGCCATCCAGAAGAGTTCATTAAAAAAGGTGAGGATGATTATAATGTTTTAACTCGTCAGTATAGTGTATATGGCTTTAATCATTAAAGAGCAAATTAATCATCTTCTGATAATTAAGTACATGATGATCTTTACTTAAAAAGCTTTAACTCTCATTTGTTTGACAGAGGGAAATACAATATTAACTCTTAACACTCCAGAGGAAAACCGTTTTTGTAGCAACCAGAATTCACCTTTGGATAGCAAAGAGTTAAATACTTGGACTTTAATAAATTATGGGAGATATTCTGAGCCTATTTTCAAATACTATATTATTGACATAACCTTATAAACAGGAAAAGATACACTATGTTTGTTTAAAAAAATGTATTCTTAGTACATCAGAGATTATTTGCACATATGCATTAATATCAGGGATTCCCAACCCTTTTCTTGCATCGACCAAAAAGAATAGTTACCTTCATCGACCCCCTTAAATTTTCTTCAATAATACATACTGTACAACATTATCATAATGCAAATAATTGTGCATAATTTACTTATAATAATTCTTAGCAATTACACACAAACAAGTTTTCATACACAAAATCAAATATACTAATTGCCCCAAAATTCGATTTTATTAAATGTGATGACTACACCTTGATTTTTTTTTTTTTTTTTTTTTTTTTTTTTTTTTTTTTTTTTTTTTTTTTTTTTTTTAATATCCAGCATAAAATTGCTTAATTTACATCTTAAATCACCTTGTTCGAAAATACCCAATCTGTTTCTTGTTTTTTATAGTAAGTTATTAACTCACTAAAGCCTGCTTCCACTAGGTAAGAGGGAAATGCCAATAATGTCAGTATCGTAACAACTTTTTGGGATAATGTATTCTCTCATTTAAAAGCTGCACTTTTTCCTCAAAAAGCAGATTAAAATGAAGCTCTACAAGCAAATGACTACAAATAGGTACATATAAACATGTGGCAACACAGTAGCACATATTTAATGATTGAGTACAAAATGCATTGTTGTTGGGAAATCATTACAAAGGATTGTTTAATTTTATTGCAGTTCATTACAGAGACTTTATAATGATTTGAGGACTACAGGAAACCATTACCTAACAACAAAAGGAAAAATCAAACTTCCTAGTATGCAGCATGTGTGTGAATGGACTGTGGCACCTTGGGAAAGTGTCAAGCCTAAAACAATGATCTAAGGAGATTTTTGAAATGTTGGAATATCCAGTACTCTACATGGCACTGATGATGACATGCTGTGGCTTACCAGTCCCAGCAATAGTGATGGTGGTAGTGCTGAGTGGTACAGACAATGACTAAAAGATGCTGAACACAAAAATTGTTCCTTTTGGGTGATGATTAAAATTTTTTCTGAGTTCTTGGTAAGAACTGTTTCCATTTTACCTGCTTTCCCAACTTCAAAATGAAAACAATATTGTAGATGATACATAGGGTATCTACGATTTACCTTCAAGAACTATTTTTTAAAATTAAAGGTAAAAATTAAGGTCACAACGAATAAAATTTCTCTGGGATAACTTTTAAATTCCAAAGCAACACACCCATGTGTTTTGAACAAGACTTCACTTATTTATATGATTTTTATACTTTTCCTGTTCAGTACACAATTAATTATCGATTGTATTAGCACATTTTTTTTAATCCATAAGATCTTGATTATAATGATCAGGTTGCCAATGCACATTGATTATCGACCCCTCGATCATCATAAATCCTCTTTAAAAATTTATCGATCCCATTGGGAAACTCTTCCTGATATAAAAACAATCCATGAACAATTTTTCACATAAAAATGGTTCATACACCCAATATGTGTAGAAAAACTGAAAAATCAGTCAAGCAGCCAATTCATTCCCCCATTAAAAAAAGGAACAAGATAAGGATTACCAATAATACTGAACAACAAGTGATCGAATTCATTTTTAGAATTCTGTTCATCAATACGGTAGAAAAAATGAGAAAATAAAATTGCATACTGATTACATAATGTAAGATATTTAATAACTCTAAGTAAATCATAAATGTCTTCAGTGACATAGCCATATTTGGCATATTTGACTCAAAATTTAACATTTATGTTCATGTGGCAGTCTTATTTTTGGCTGCGCCTCACCAGATGACATCATGTTGTTTTGGTAATAACCACTGGCACGACCAGCACACTCACTTACATTGCCTTTATCTCGAGTAAGAAAAGGTTAAAGTATTCATGTAGAAGTTTCCTGTTTTAATGAAGAGTTAATAAAGTTGTGTTTTAATGATGTGGAGTCATGTCTTCTAAGAATATTCACCGAGTCATATCCTTCACACATATAATGGTGACCTGTCTAACGCATGAAGCTTCATATTGGTTGTTTCAAAACTTTTGTTTTCTTTGCTACAACCCCTACCATGGAGAAAACAGAAGTTGTAAAAATACTAATTTATAATCCATTGATCTGGCATTGTGGCTTGTTACATGCAAATAAACTTTTGCTTTAGCCACCTCAAGGCTGTTATGGACCCCCAAATGAAATTTAACTATTGCGTCGCTCCTTTGCTGCCGGAGATTGCTTCTTTGTTTCGAGATATCATATTTCGTGAGTGCACTGTTTCTTCTTAAGAAGACCTGAAAGCTGACATTATGGAGTGTTGCGGGGAAAGTAGTACCAGGGAAATCAGGAAACTACTTGCCGGGAAGCAGCTTGGAGACAAAAAAACCATCCAAACTGCTTCACGTCATGAAAAGGCATGCTGAAAAACATGATATTTTACAAACTCATTATTACTGCAGTTGTTTATTCAGCAAATGCTATTAAATGTTCAATCTATTCTCACGTCGGTTGAGCCGCTTGATTCTTCGGAAGCTGATAGATAGCATTGCTCA